AGTAAAGAAACAGATTGATAGAGCCAGAAGAGTTCCCAGAAGTTACCTACTACAGGACAGGGCTAACAAAGAAAATAACAGAACGCCACTAGCGGTCACCTTCAGCCCCCAACTAAAACCCCTCCAACGCATTATTAAGGATCTACAACCTATCCTAAAGGATGACCCAACACTCTCACAAGTCTTGGGAGACAGGCCAGTCCTTGCCTACAGACAGCCCCGCAACCTGAAGCAAATACTCACCAACAACCACATACCACACAACAGAACCACTAACCCAGGAACTTATCCTTGCAACAAAGCCCGTTGCCAATTGTGCCCACATATCTATTCAGGGGACACCATCACAGGGCCTAATAACATCAGCCACACTATCAGAGGCTCGTTCACCTGCACATCCACCAATGTGATATATGCCATCATGTGCCAGCAATGCCCCTCTGCCATGTACATTGGTCAAACTGGACAGTCTCTACGTAAAAGAATAAATGGACACAAATCAGATGTCAAGAATTATAACATTCATAAACCAGTCGGAGAACACTTCAATCTCTCTGGTCACACAATCACAGACATGAAGGTCGCTATCTTAAAACAAAAAAACTTCAAATCCAGACTCCAGCGAGAAACTGCTGAATTGGAATTCATTTGCAAATTGGATACTATTAATTTAGGCTTAAATAGAGACTGGGAGTGGCTAAGTCATTATGCAAGGTAGCCTGTTTCCTCTTGTTTTTTCCTACCCCAGATGTTCTGGTTTAACTTGGATTTAAACTTGGAGAGTGGTCAGTTTAGATGAGCTATTACCAGCAGGAGAGTGAGTTTGTGTGTGTATGGGGGTGGGGGGGGATGTGAGAAAACCTGGATCTATGCAGGAAATAGCCCGACTTGATTATGTAAAGAGTTGTCACTTTGGATGGGCTAGCACCAGCAGGAGAGTGAATTTGTGTGGGGGGGTGGAGGGTGAGAAAACCTGGATTTGTGCTGGAAATGGCCCACCTGTTGATCACTTTAGATAAGCTATTACCAGCAGGACAGTGGGGTGGGAGGAGGTATTGTTTCATATTCTCTGTGTGTATATAAAGTCTGCTGCAGTTTCCACGGTATGCATCTGATGAAGTGAGCTGTAGCTCACGAAAGCTCATGCTCAAATAAATTGGTTAGTCTCTAAGGTGCCACAAGTACTCCTTTTCTAGATGCTTTTGAAAGTCACATTAGGCACCTATCTGAATCCCCAGGTGCTTAAATACTTTTGAAAATCTGACCCTGAACCTCCAGTAGCATGCTGGCCCCTGAACACCATGCTGGGACGTACAGTATTGACTTGGATCATAAACACTACTTCCTGCATCTGATGGGTATCTCCCATTCAAGTTCCAACCCAGCCCAATCCTGTTTAGTTTAAGAAATCCATCAGGACCATGATCAAGGTACAATACCTCATATGATTAAAAAATATTAGAATGATCATGATACATAGTTAGTCCTTCTGTTACCATAAATCTGTCTTTGTGAGTTGTTTCTGATTTATATACACAATGTAAAATATTAAGTAACTGTACATACTACTGGAGACCTCTGTCTTAGCTTCAAGTAAATAAAGGTACTCCACTTGCATATAAATCTATATAACATTCTATTTTAAGAAGGTACTAAGTGTTTTTCTGAATGAGTATAATTTATAAAACTAAAGCAAGTTTACCCACTTTGTTCATTAAATGTGCCACTGGCTTCTCAGCAGAAAGAAATATTTGCATATTTCAAGGAAGTTTATCATCAGTCTCTACAAAGGAACATATTATACAGTGCTCAATACTTATCTACAGCTTTCCCTCCCTTTCTTTTGCTGTCAGCAATTTGAACAGGGCACTAATTAAAACCAGACCATCTGTTCTTTGAAAAGGTATATATATAAGTTGTTAAATTTCCATTTCACTTTTCACCTTAGCTAACCTTATTTTGTTATAGTCTTAAAACTTCATGCATGGAAGAAGAGCAAAAATACTACACATTGCTTTCAGTTCACAGAGCTGATTTGTACTCTATATTACTTCTGAATTGTTCACCTTTTTAAAAATGAAAGTAAGTATGTGAGTATTGATTCTGTAGGTCTATATCACCAGATACATCCATATCAATCACTTACAAATATTTTACAAGGGTAATGCACGGTGTCTACTACTTTTAGTGCTAGATGGCATTGAACCCATGAGAATATGTTAAATTTACTTCTGAACCCTTCATTTGTAATGGCTTCCCCTCCATTTTCCCAAACTGCGTCATTAATGTTTTTCTCTCTGTGTGAGAAAGTGTGTTTAAAAATTAGAATTTGAAAATACATTATTTAAACACTTCACATCTTTTCTTTGCTTCCATATACAATACCACTTTTGTAGCTTTAAAAGGCAAAAACAGTTAATTACTAGCTGTAATTTCAACTAATTCCCAACACAAAATAAACCCTTCCATTTTACTAAACAAATCCAAACTAAATTATTTCTGCAAACCTTGATAAGTTGTCCAAGCCCATCAATGAGTCACCATTTTAATTATACTATACACTCATCTAACATTGAATATCCAGTGCTTACTGTTAATTTGGATACTAAGGGCCAGATTTTCACTAGTATGCTCCAGATCAGTGGTGGGCAACCTGCGGCCCATTCGCAGCCTGTCAAGGTAATCCACTGGTGGGCCGCCAGACAGTTTGTTTACATTTCCACGCAGCCCGCAGCTCCCAATGGCTGTGGTTTGCTGTTCCTGGACAATGGGAGATGCGGGAAGCGGCACAGGCCGCAGGGACATGCTGGCTGCCGCTTCCCACAGGTTCCACTGGCCGGGAACGGCTAACCGCGGCCACTGGGAGCTGCGGATGGCCATGCAAATGTAAACAAACTGACTGGCAGCCCTCCAGTGGATTATCCTGACAGGCCGCAGGTTGCCTACCACTGCTCCAGATGCTTTGCATGGCTTTAGCAACACTCAAACTGTGGGTTTCAGTTATCACATTACCAAACAGGGTAATAAACCACTTGCTTTGAACTTACTGATAACAGAACATTGTTCAAAATTAGTGCTGTCAAGTGATGTAAAAATTAACAGTGATTAATCGTGATGAATTGCGTGATTAAAAAAATTAATTGTGATTAATCGTGCGATTAATTGCACTGCTACACAATAATAGAATACCACTTATTTAAATATTTTGGATGTTTCTTACATTTTCAAATATATTGATTTCAATTACAAACACAGAATGCAAAGTGTACAGCGCGCAGTTTTATATATTTTTTTTAATTCCAAATATTTGCACTGTAAAAAAAAACAAAAATAGTATTTTTCAATTCACCTAATACAAATACTGCAGTGTAATCTCTTTATCATGAAAGTTGAACTTACAGATGTAGAATTATGTACCAAAAAACCCCTGCATTCAAAAATAAAACAATGTAAAACTAGATCCTAAAAGTCCAATGAGTCCTACTTCTTGTTCAGCCAATAGCTCAGACAAACACGTTTGTTTACGTTTTCAGAAGATACTGCTGCCTGCTTCTTGTTACAATGTCACCTGAAAGTGAGAACAGGCATTCACATGGCCCTGTTGTAGCTGGTATCACAAGACATTTACATGCCAGATGCACTGAAGATCCAAATGTCCCTCGATGCTTCAACCACCATTCCAGAGGACATGCATCCATGCTGATGATGGGTTCTGCTCAATAACGATCCAACGCAGTGCGCACCAATGCATGTTAATTTTCATCATCTGAGTCAGATGCCACGAGCAGAAGACTGATTTTCTTTTTTAGTGGTACTGGTTCTGTAGTTTCCACATCAGAGTGTTGCTCTTTTAAGATGTCTGAAAGCATGCTCCACACCTCGTCCCTCTCAGATTTTGGAAGGCACTTCAGATTCTTAAATCTTGGGTCGAGTGCTGTAGCTATCTTTAGAAATTTCACATTGGTATCTTCTTTGCATTTTGTCAAATTTGCAGTGACAGTGTTCTTAAAACAAACAACGTGTGCTGGGTCATCATCAGAGACTGCTATAACATGAAATATATGGCAGAATGCAGGTAAACAGGAGACACAGAATTCTCCCCCAAGGAGTTTAGTTACAAATTTAATTAATGCATTATTTTTTTAACCAGCGTCATCTACACGGAAGCATGTCCTCGGGAACAATGGCCGAAGCATGAAGAGGCAGATGACTCTTTAGAACATCTGGCACGTAAATATCTTGCGACGCCAGCTACAACAGTGCCATGCGAATGCCTGTTCTTGCTTTCAGGTGACATTGTAATTAAGAAATGGGCAGCCTTATGTCCCATAAATATAAACAAACTTGTTTCTCTTAGCGACTGGCTGAACAAGAAGTAGTGCTTGTAGGCTCTAAAGTTGAACTTGTAGACGCTAAAGTTTTACATTGTTTTGTTTTTGAGTGCAGTTATGTAACAAAAAAAATTTGTAAGTTGCACTTTCATGACAAAGAGATTGCATTATGGTACTTCTATGAGGTGAATTGAAAAATACTACTTCTTTTGTTATCATTTTTACAGTGCAAATATTTGTAATAAAAATAATATAAAGTGAGCACTGTACACGTATTCTGTGTTGTAACTGAAATCAATATATTTGAAAATGTAGAAAAGCGTCAAAAATATTTAAAAAATTTAAATTGGTATTCTATTGTTTAACAGTGCAATTTATCACAATTAATTTTTTTGAGTTTATCACATGAGTTAACTGTGATTAATCAACAGCACTATTCAAAATATATTTTGTAAAAATAGTGCAGGCTTATGGGAATTTTTTCCTTTTTCTCTAGTCTGTTCAAAGTGAAGAGAAAAGCTAGTATAGATTTTTTTAAGTTCTGCAAGTGCCTTAAAAATCCCTTTTAAAAGTAAAAGAAAATGGAATGTTACACATTAAATACTTCCTTTCATTTTTTTTTTAATTACCCTACTTTTCTGAGAAAAGTAGGGAAAGTAAGTTACTTACCAATTTAGCTATAATGAGTGCATCATTCATTAGATCCAAGAGAGGAGTCTCTGTATGAATATTGTAGAAGGAATAGGCAGCTTTGAGGCTTTTATGTACAGGATGATGCATAACTGTTGAAGGTAACGTGTAGAAACTCAGGAAATCAGTTAAAATGCCATTTGAACTCTGGGGAAGAAAAAAGTCATTGAATGAAGAATCAACTTGTAATTAATTAGCTACAGTTTTAGCCACCTCCCTGAGCAGCAGATATTTTGGGAAATTACAAATACTAGCTGCCAGAAGCCTACCCTTCAAGTGGGCATGGCTATCAGCACTGGTCTCTATACAGCGCATTCATCACAACTTCAAAAATGGTTAAAATCTTGGTTAAAATCAGATGCACAGAATTGATGCCCTCGGAACATCTTAATTTCATAAACAGAAAGGCAGGGTTGGAGGGGACCTTGAGAGGTCATCTAGTCCATCCCCCCCATACTAAGGCAGGACCGACCAAGTATGCCTTGATCTTCCCTTGCAGGTTTTTGTCTAACCTGTTCTTAAAAACCTTCAATGATGGGGATTCCACAACCTCCCTTGGTAATCTGTTCCAGTACTGAACTACCCTTGTAGTTAGAAAGTTTTTCTAATATCTCATCTAAATATTACCTGCTGTAAAGACAATTACTTCTTGTCCTACCTTCCTCCGAACAACTGATCACTGTCTTCTTTTGTAACAGCCCTTAACATATCTGAAGACTTATCAGTCCCCCCTCAGTCTTTTTTTCTCAACATTTTTCCAGTTCTTTGAAAAAGGAATTTTTTTGCTTTTTGACAGCAATTTTTTTGTGGAAAATATGTAGCATATTTAGATCAGCTCTAGTGATTCACGTTGAATGAGTATACCAAATTGCACCAGAGTAGCTCAAAAGGGCACTTGAAGTGTGATAAGGGGGATGTCTTTTTTAAGGACCTCTGATGTAAAGTTCAAATATCAAACATGAGGATATCTCTGCTGAGCTCTGTATCACAGAGGTGAATTAATTATGGACCTTAAGAAAACACCTCCAATGACTCTGCACGTTCACCATTAAGGATGCTAGAAATGTTAATTCAGGGATTATGAGCTTTATTAAGGTCTCCCCTTTCATTTTGCTATGGTCTTTAGTACCAGCATTTTGAACTGAAAACAAAACAAAGCCTTTGGCCATTTGTGCTGTGAAGGCAGCCTTCTTAACGTAATTGCAATCTAACTTTTCTGTAGTTTCTTTCATCCTAAAAGGATTTCTAAGCACGAGCAAACAAATTTAACATAGTGACTAGCAGCTTTCAATGGAACGTAGGTTCCTAAGCTACATGGGTCATTTTTAAAATTTTACCCACAAATAATAGCACCAAGAGGTGTGAACTTAAACTATTAAATTGAGTATCAGATTACATTTGAAGCAGGTTTATCCAATACTGGGACTCTCCACATAAATAGGTGCACCTGAAACCAGTTAAGCGGGATTTAAATTTTGTGCTGGCCTGCTATGGAGTTCCTATTTGACATCTGAAGGAATGACATCAAACCCCAATCAGATTCTCATTTCCTCATGTCAGTCATTTTAGCAGCTCCTTTCTTTCTGGAAAAGCAGATTCAAATATTAATACTTGTAATCAAATTGTTTTCTTCCAAAAAGGGGTGGTGAAAAGCAAACAAGATTTTTAAAAATGTAGAGTGCCTCCCAGATGGTCATCACTTTCAGAGTTTTAGAATTCTTATTTAATCAACTTGTTACATTACCACTGCAGTCCATACAGACTCCAAAAATAAGTGTTTTCTTATCATGCGATTAGAATATTAGAATGTACAATAATGTTTACTGTTCTCTGTTTAATATAAAGAGCAAAATGGAGAAACTATGTCAAGCTCCACAAATGCTACAATGCAAGATTAAGTATAGATCATGGCTCTGAGTGCACTAGAAAGCCCTCTTGCTTCTCATGGTAGTTATCTTGATGCCATCAAAACCCTAATGTCAATATAGCCTTACACTGAATTACTTGTGTAATATTACTGGGGAGGCAAGGGTGGAATTTACATATATCTTATTTACATTGTTAACCAATGTTTTTACCTCAACTACAAAGGTGTCAATAATATGATCCTGAGGCAGGAACCAGTGGGCTACCTCTTCTTCATCCATTACAGGAGCAAGATTAAATTGCTTCAAGTAACTGTTGATCAGTTCTTGCACTGCTTTAATGTCTTTTTGTTCCATTGGTCTCAAACCTAAAGTCTTTGTGGCCTTGTTATAACAAAAAGAAAAAAAAAAAAAGATGTTGAAAGGAAGAATTTATTTACAAAATATGTGAAAGTAGGTTACAAAGTACACTCCATAGAATATTCATTATTAGCCTACTTTACTCTAGCATTATAATTCATTATGCCACTTTACAAACTGCCTTCAATCAATATTTCCTACCTTCTAATTACTGAGACAGTCTGGGGCACTTCAAGCTTTACATACTAATACTACTTCATTTCTCCAGGGAATCAGACACTGTTGCCTGTAGCCTAGACTTCAAACATTGTGTGTTCTTTTTTTAATTTGATCATTTCTTTTCTTCTAAATTACTTAGGGCCCAGAAAAAACCCTGATCATCAGAAACTGACCAGAAGACAAAAATATGTTGGATACCAAGTAAAAATCATTTTCTCGTGTGTGTTTATATTTGGTCAGCAAATATTTAACATGAAAATTTCCAGCTACTTTTACCCCTCCAAACTAGCTTGTTGTCTAAATTTTCTATGCAGACATAACCATTTTTCTACTCATGAGAAAGCCCCTCTCATATAAATTAAGGCCACCCTGGAATTACTAAGCTAAATATATTTTAGAAAATAACATATTTTACAGAGGGACTTTATACAATGGAGAAAAAATATTTCTAATATATTGTAATTAACGTTTAGATATGTGGAAAGCAACTGAATCTTATTTTCTCCAGCAAATTTTTGTTGATTATCCAGTATATTTCTTCATTAAACAAAGGTTCATTCTCTTTCAGAGCTTATCTGCTTCACCATTCAATGAAGTCATATAATGAATTTGTTTAACATGTTAGTCATTTTCATGGTAATGTGGCAAGGTCAAATACAGGGGTCCCCAATTTTCAGGCTGGCTCTGACAGCTTTGCCCAATTCAAGCAAAGTAGTCAGAAAACTAGCTTACCGGATCCCTGAGGATGCCCCTTGTGGAAGATGGATCATTGGGTGGTGTAGAACTAGTGCAGCTGCCCATATAGGGAGTGTGGCTGGGGGGAAGGAAGCCTGGCTGGGGTATCCTTAAGTCCCAGAAATCCTGAGCTGCCAGAATAGCCTGAGGCAGTTTGGACATGCTGGGGAACAGTCCAGTACACAGCCAACTCCAGGACTAGGGAACAATTTCTGGCTTAAAGCCACTTGCCTCCTACCCCAATCAAGCTGCTCTGAGCGTATCCCAGGTCAAGCAGCAGCTCTAGCCCAGGATTTTGATCTCCTGGCAGGATCAGGCAGAAGAATGTATGAAAACAAATGTCTGAAACAACAACAGGTTGGCAAGATACGTTCCTTTTGGTATACTTTTTCCTCAGTTAAATTTGTCTTAAAAGTCCCCTATTAAGTAACTATATACTTGGAAAGTGAAAAATACCCAAGAAGCTTTGTTCAGAGTAACATTTTGTTAATATAATCACAATATTCTTATATGATTTCAAATAGATCTTCAGAGTAGACAGCAAGAATTTTCAAGAGTTGTGTTGCTAACTATGCTGAGGTCCAGGCCACCACCTCATCTTCACCGCTCATTTTAGCTGCACTAGTTAGATTAAAGCTAGTGCTAGGCCTATCTGAGCTGCAATCAGATGTCCAATTACAGCATAGACATACACCTTTAGGTACAAGGATCTTAAGGTCTCTTGACTTTCTGAGAGACATAGGCTCCTAAGTGCTTCTGTCACTTAGGTGCTTTGGAAATTTTACTCAGAAGTTATTGTGTACAATGCTGCATACAAATCCTACTCTCTTCCTAGGTGTGTTTCTGGGGCTTATTTTCCCCTTCCCCATACTTTATTTTTCTTCTACTGTAGTCTGTAACTTATGAATTAGCAAAGATTAGTTAGAATTAGAGTTGTATATTTTCTAATAAACCCAGTTCATTTATGAACCTTGTGCTTTAAATCGTACTAGGTAGAGATGGCAAATTTTCTTTTCCTGTATTGGCTCTATGAGACAGAACAGAACCCTATATCTGAATTATCTACTAGTTTTTAGGATCTAAAAATTATTTCAAATTTGATTAAAGGTAGACTTAGTTCTTTGGGCCTAAAAACTAAATTAATTTAGTTATTCATTTTAGGCTCTGCCAACTACTGCACAGTATACAAGTGAGAGAGCATGTGTGTGCAGCATGGGAAGTGGGTCACACGGATAGCATTCCGTACTGAGACACAAACAATGGACTGTGCTGTGCAGGGGAGCATCTAGTATGGTGTTGAAGCTATAAAGATAACGAGCATCTGAGACATCAGACCAAACAACGATAGCGGACATAGCTGTCCAAAGGCAGGTAAGTCATTATGGAAAAACTTGAAGGGAGGGAAGGGGGGGCAGATTTTTATCTGAATAAAAGACATGCACAGTACATAGCATTTCCTGAGCTACAATTTGCTGCAGCAGGTCACCGTATGGAGAAAACGTTCTCTGGCAAACTGGGTTAAAATGCTTCTCGGCATTGCCTTATCAACATTTTAGGATGCCTTCTTTGTAAGAAAGGTCATAAACTGTGAATTTCCTACTCCATTAAAAATGATACATTAATTGGATAAAAAATTAACTGTATACAATTGTAAAAAGTGTGTCTCTTCAGTTTGTGGTTGAATGGGATTGAGTTGAAGTTTACTTGGGGAGTTTTGTGAGTTTTTTAAGGTCTCTGGTATTTCTAAATAAACTCATCTACACTCTTGTAATCCCCTTCCCAACCAACAAATATGTTTTTACATCATGTAAATGCTTTCCTTCCAAAATGAAAAGCTTGCCTTGTCAGAGACAGATGGAAGGGTATTTTGGGCCTCACAATAACTGCGAGGGTTCTCTAGGCAGATACATTGCTTACATCGGGAAGTCTGTAGAGCTTCATTGTTCTTTGTAAAGTCATATTTCTACTCAAATGTGAAAATTTCACCTCTACCAATTTTCTGGGGTTCAGTGATCGATGCCAATACCTGGAAATACAATTTAAAATACGTTAATATAATTACTAATTTTAATAATATATGTTTTATAAATATTTCTTTCAATCCTGCCTCCCAAAATTAAATAATTGCATCTAAGGAGCAATCCTATACTGCTATCTATAGGGGGCTTGAGCAGTAACTAAACAGGCCAAAAAAATGTTGACACTACACCTTTTAAATTTGTTACTGACTATGATATGGTTGGCTATCATAGTTTGTACCCACACACATTTTTAATATTTAGATTAGTAATCAAGGCAACTGTACTTCACCCTTGTCATAGCCTTGGCTGTCTTCACAACACTCATTTTGCTATATGGACAAGACCTCTGCTTGTCTGTGTAAATAGTTTTTTGGGACAGCCTTCTCCTGCCAGCTGTCTCTGTGATAGAACATCCTTGGATACCCAGCATTAAAGGAGGGAAAATTATGGTGAGGGATAGAAAAACCTATTCTTCCCCCGAAAAAGACTCATGGTATTTCTGATGTCCATAAACTGCAAACAAGATTTCAGCTTTTAATATTTAATCCAAAGATTCAGAGAACTGCACAGAGCTCGGTTATCTACCAGAAGGATTAAGGGCTGAGCCAACCCTACAGTGATTTGAACTTGTGGCAGCATAAGCAATATTAAATCCACTCCACGCAAACAAATTTATACTGAACTTCACACAAAACTTTTCTGACAGTACAGTTTTCCCATCACTGTAAGATGCACAACAAGCCTCCCTTTCTGCAGAGAACAGACCCTACAGAAGGTGTTTAAAAAGTAGTACCATATTATTCCCAGAAACTCTGTTCACCCCACCAGTCAAGAAATAGGTCACTTGAAAAATGTATGTACCTAAGTATACAACCTTGTCAATGCTAGCACAGTGCAGGCAGTGCCCCAAACAGAACTACATGTTACTGCAAAAAATGTCTTTGTCCAAGGCATCACAAAGAAGTTGGTCATGTCCTCTGCATTAGAATCAAGTCCACAATGTTTACCAGAAGTTTACAGCAGAAAAATGAACATTTTTATTAGCTAGTTTGTGAAAATGACAAGGAATCCTCTTTAAAATGATCATTCTTGGGAGCAATGTTACTATGAATACCACCTAGGTTACCTGCATGTGGCCACAGGCTTGGGGAGTACCACTCCTGCAGTGTAAACTGCCTGAAAAATCCCTTCCAGGTTTACTCTTCTGGTTATTTCCCGAATCAGTACAGGTGCTACTCGTTTAGATCTCAATTTCTTGTGGACACAAAGAAAATTGATTTCTACCATTTTCTTCACACTAAAAGCAATTTAAATAACAAAACAATTAGAAAACCCACTAAAACGTAGTATAGTCTTATTTATATAGTTTTATTTTCCATGTTGGTAGTAGAATTTCAGGTTATACAAGATAGCTTCTCAAAAACATAAATAACGCTCATTTTAAAGTCTTCAATAGAAGAACTCAATTATGTAACAAAGGACTCAGATAAATCATTGAGATTTCTTATCCAGTGTTGGTATACGCTCTTTGTATTTTACATACTTCTAAGCATATAGATCCAAATTTTTAACCTGGCTGCCTTAAGTTGTATCCTCAAAGTATACAACAAATTATTCAATATTCTGTACTGCATCTGGCAAGATGCCTAGGTTGGAGAAATTGCTTTTAATACCCTTTAGATCCGCACCATGACCTGAATTGTGGCCTGGATTTAAGAGCCTGGAAAGCAATCAAAGCAGGAGGAAAGACGTATCAAAAGGTTCCACAGCTCATATTCACTGATTAATTATTCCAGTGCTCCAACCCTACTGAGAGAGCCCTGGTAACCAGTCTAACTGACTGAATATCCACTTTACACTTTCCAATAGGCCAGATAACATCAAGCAGCTCTCCACACCTTCTATCAATAGAATGTTTCTGAGGTGGACATTTGTTTGCCATTAGTTTTAATTGGAAACTTCCAAAAGCCTTGTGAAAAATTTCAGACCCGTGTAAGGTTTCTTCTCCCTCTACAGTCAATGAGGCCTAGCACTCAGGTCTTCAATCAGACAATCCCCACCACGAAAGACAGTTCAATATTTATCATTTGTTTTTATTTATCTTTATATTTATCTATTTATATTTACCTGTCATAAATCCGAATGTGTGCAGGGATGGCGCTTATGAACCCTACCAGTTTTTTGTTTGAAGTTACTCTAACTCCACAGTGCCACTGGGGTAGCCAGCCTGGAGGACGTAGTGCCCTAGAATCAGTGGCAGAAACAATCACAGATTAGTGCCCAAAAGAATGTGATCAAAACACCCTTCTTTGCAATCCAACGCAGAAATTGCTACTCACCACATAAGAAACTCAGGTGAGTAGTCAAACCTAAACATGTTATCATCATCTTCTACGTAATTCTCATTTAATAACGTGTACAGTTCCTTTAGCTGAAAACACACAACAAAAAAGGAAGAATTTTATCTCACACATATCAGCCAGAATGTTTCATCAAGGACTGTGCGTACACACACACGGTTTTACTTACAACTTCAGCATTGCTCAGGTCCAAAGTGTCCCACATAAAACCCTGTGGCAAAGAGTATGGCTCTAGGCGGACATTGTCCTTATCTGGTTCAATTGCACCATGAGAAGTTATAACCTCATCTGTTATAGAAAGGGAGAAAAAAATTACATTGCTAGCTAATTTTAAAATTAATCATTTTTGAAGTCACTTTACACAAGGTGTAATGTACAATTATGAAATCAGAATCTGAAGCCTTTTTAAAATGTTGAAAATAAGCTTTTGTTTGCTTACATTATTTTTCTGTTTTACAACTCACTCAAGTCAGCTAATACTTCAGCAGAGCTATTGTACAGAGGCTCAGAGCTATTCTACTGCAGTTTATATCTTAACATTTCATAACAGAGCACAATTGAATAGCAAATTATCAGCATGTATGTATCACTTAGTCAACTACTGAAAGCTATGTCTGGGGAGGAGTTCTGCAGTTCAGCAGTGAGATTCACAAGCTATGGTGCTGATCTTGCAAACACTGACTTATATGAACTCAATGGCACAACTCACATGCATCACATGCGTTTGCAGGATCAGGGCATTTTACAGAATGGCTGCTGATGAAACGAAAAAACTTTCATTTGTAAATTTTAAATTAAAATTGTGGTCACATCTATAGTTCTAGACTCGCTGTTGGGTAATCTTGTCTTTCTTCACAACTTCAGAAGCAGGTAGACTAAAGATACTTTTAAAAATATAAACAGGAGCCACGCACTCTTCCTCTGTTGGACGGCTATTACACAGCAGCCAACCACCCCACAAGAGGCTTCCAAAGCTGAACAACATTAGGAAATATATTAGAACACGTTAATCATGTTTGCACAAATTATTGATAGCATGTCAAGACTATTGCAATCTTAGTTCTCATTAATACACCTGAATGACCAGTAGGGTGCACTATGCAGCTTCTTTTGCAAAAAGAGCTTCTGCCAGGAGATTGCTCAATAGTGGTAAACAGAACAGGAGTACTTGTGGCATCTTAGAGACAAACAAATTTATTAGAGCATAAGCTTTCGTGGGCTACAGCCCACTTCATTGGATGCAAAGAATGGAACATATAGTAAGAGATAGATTATATATATTTTTCACACACATACAGATAAGTTGGAAGTTACCATACAAACTGTGAGAGGCTAATTAGTTAAGATGAGCTATTAGCAGGAGAAAAAACTTTTGTAGTGATAATCAAGAAGGCCCATTTAGACAGTTGACAAGAAGGTGTGAGGATACTTAACTTAAGAAAATAGATTCAATATGTGTAATGACCCAGCAGCTCCCAGTCTCTATTCAAACCCAAGTTAATGGTATCTAGTTTGCATATTAATTCAAGCTCAGCAGTTTCTCCTTGGAGTCTGTTTTTGAAGCTTTTCTGTTGCAATATTGCTACCCTTAAATCTTTTACTGAGTGGCCAGACAGGTTGAAGTGTTCTCCTTCTGGTTTTTGAATGTTATGATTCCTGATGTCAGATTTGTGTCCATTTATTCTTTTGCATAGAGACTGTCCGGTTTGGCCAATGTACATGGCAGAGGGGCATTGCTGGCAAATGATGGCATATATCACATTGGTAGATGTGCAGGTGAACGAGCCCCTGATGGCATGGCTAATGTGATTAGGTCCTATGATTGTGTCACTTGAGTAAATATGTGGACTGAGTTGGCATCGGGCTTTGTTGAAAGGATAGGTTCCTGGGTTAGTGTTTTTGTTGTGTGGTTGCTAGAGAGTATTTGCTTCAGGCTGGGGGGCTGTCTGTAAGTGAGGACTGGCCTGTCTCCCAAGATCTGTGAGAGTGAGGGATCATTTTTCAGGATAGGTTGTAAATCTTTGATGATATGCTGGAGAGGTTTTAGTTGGGGGCTGAAGGTCACAGCTAGTGGCGTTCGGTTATTTTCTTTGATGGGCCTGTCCTGTAGTAGGTGACTTCTGGGTACTCTTCTGGCTCTGTCAATCTGTTTTTTCACTTTAGCAAGTGGGTATTGTAGTTTTAAGAATGCTTGATAGAGATCTTGTAGGCATTTGTCTCTGTCTGAGGGATTGGAGCAAATGCGGTTGTATCTTAGAGCTTGGCTGTAGACAATGGATCATGTGGTGTGTCCTGGATGGAATCTGGAGGCATGTAGGTAAGTATAGCGGTCAGTAGGTTTCCAATATAGGGAGGGGTTTATGTGACCATCACTTATTAGCACAGTAGTGTCCAGGAAATAGACCGCCTGTGTGGATTGATTATCACTACAAAAGTTTTTTTCTCCTGCTGATAATAGCTCATCTTAACTAATTAGCCTCTCACAGTTTGTATGGTAACTTCCAACTTATCTGTATATATGTATCTATATCTATGCGTTCCATTCTATGCATCCGATGAAGTGGGCTGTAGCCCACGAAAGCTTATGCTCTAATAAATTTGTTAGTCTCTAAGGTACCACAAATACCCCTGTTCTTTTTGCGGCTACAGACGAACACGGCTACTACTCTGAAACCTGTCAATAGTGGTAAGTTAGTATTGCCTGCTGTCCAGGTTGGAAGGCCAAAATCACCAGCAGCTCCATGAAGACTCTGGGTACAGAGAACCCTCCAGCTACCATTGCTACAAAATAATAGTCTTGATCCATTATGGTATACTACTTATAGGACTGCTGCTGGCAGTCTCGTACAAGGAGGGAAAATTTTGAAGTTTATGAACGCAAAGATTCCTGCAACTATTTCTTGAAGCAGAAAGACTAAATGCTTCTATCTGAAGTCATAATCTTCAACACATTGAAGAAAGAGCTTCCTTGCCCAGTCCACTCACTCAGCACCTCAGGAGGAAGCTGAAAAATGTAAAGGTGTAGGCTATTTCCACTTCTCACAAATAGGAAGTAGAAATGATTCAGACAGGCTGCTTAACAGAATATTCAAAGACCACTCATATTCTACAAACCCCATTTCTATTAAGCAGCCATTCAGAATCTCTTCTAGATTCTATTTGTTGGTAGTTGCCCACACATTTTTTTCCTCATCCTCCTAGACTGGTGAGTGACAGGACCAGCAAGCTCTCATCTCTCAGCTGGTGCTGAAGGACGGTCAAGGTATAACCTCACTAACTGCTGCCTAGCAAAATACATTCCCGTGGCGCATGTAGAGTAAAAGGACTAGTAGTTGGAGGTGTTCTGAAAAGATGGCTAAAATTCCAAAGGCTGGATTTAGAGTCCCTTGGGGAACAATGTTGTGACACTATTTTGTTAAGTTCTCAAGAATGCTGGAGAGCTTTACATAGAACGCTACTTGGAGCCATCAAACAGCACTTTGGGGATGAAGTCTATGGACTTGTCTACACTACAGAATTAAGTTGACCAAAGTTACGTCGACATAGAGCCACCACAGTAATTATTGTAGTTTTTCCATGTCCACACTAGCTCCTTCTGTCGGCGGTATGCATCATCACCATTTGCACTTCCACTGAGTGAAGTGGGGCATTGACAGCTGGAGCCTCCCCACCACCATGGCTGACAGTCCAGAGTCCTGCCAGGAGGGGAGGTGAGCCCAGGCCCGGCTGCCTCCCAGTGAGGGGAGAGGCCAGGGAGAAGAGCCCAGGCCTAGACGGTGGCCAGGCTCAGGCTCTCCCCCTTCTCAATCCTTCACTGGGAGGCAGTAGCAGGACTCCGGGCTGTCAGTCCCATGCAGGTCTTACAGACAACAGGCGATATCAGTAACGCAGTGTCTACATAGATACTGCATCTCCCTAACTACATTGACCTAAGCGTGACGCCTTTTGCAGAGGTGGAGTTATTAGGTCGATGTAGTGGGCGACTGACATTGATGGGAACACTATTATAGTGTAAACAACTACAGTGTTAGGTCAACATAAGCTGCCCTAATTCTGTAGTGTAGACAAGGCCTATAACCAGCACCCTAAGTAAGCTATTAGTTTAACTTGGAAAGTGCAGTGAATTTTGTATTGTCACATGGATAATCATAAATAAAAGAGTTCCTGGGTGTTTCTTCACCTTTCCTGATTCTCTCCTTAACTTCCCATTTTTGGAGTGCACAACTTGAGCAGACCATGAGAGCAGGTGTTTGGACTGTGGCTATTGGGGCCAAGAGGCTCAGAGGCCATTGGAGACTAATTCAAGGCCTTATTTTCTTAACAGTAAATTTTGTTTTTGCTCACAACCATCTAGAGTTAAGCACCAGAAAGGAGGAACTGAGCTTGAGGACAGGAAAGAGTTTGTCAGCTTTGCTTTAGTGCAGTGTTTTTTGATGCTCTGCTACTTAGATGTTTGTGACCACCATGAGTCCATGTGGAGTAGACTATTTTCTCAAAGGACTCAGATGTTATGATGCTTCATCCTGAGTAGATTTTTCTTAGTCTGAGGGCAAACAAATTCTTCAATTTCTATGGTAGTGTGGACCAGGTCAATTTAACACATCCATTTTACTGGAGTTAAAATGTCTTCTTAAGTCATGTGATTCTGGGAGATTTTGCCCTTCTTAAGGGATGAGGCACCCCTGGTATGCCAGAGGTGGCCCCACAGAGGAGTGGGAATCCTAAAGGATGGTGATGTGGCCTCTTGACACTTCTAGTTTCTGTTGGATTAATTTTTCCTGGGTGCAGCAGCAGGGAGAAGAGAGGTGCTTGGTTTCTTCTCCAAATGTGAGGTGACTTCCCTGGATCGCAGTCTGTGATGAGACTAAAAACTCTGTTTGGGAAGGAGACTCATTCAGTGTAAGAAGTCTAGAAAATTCTGTTTAGGTTTATGAGGGAGATGTTATCCCAAAGAAGAAAGGTCTTCCATACTTCTTAGGATCCAAGGCCTCCGAATTCAGACATGGTGCTAGATTAAAGATTCAAATATTTGAGTCCTTTTAGTCTGTGTACATTTTGTTTTCTTTTTGGGCATCGGTGCCAGGGGTGCGCTGTGCAGCGAGGCTAAAGTACTAGGCGAGTCTTGGCGGGACGGCTTGGAAGCCAGATAGAGGGCAGCCTCCATGAGGAAAGCCTGCAAACTAATATCCCATTCTTTCTGAATCCTGGGTTGAAAATTTTTACAAATACAACACTTGTTGTGCACTTGTGATTCTCCCAAGCACTTGAGGCAGCTACTGTGGGGGTCACTTATAGGCATAGGCCTGTTATAGTCCGCACAGAGCATAAACCCCGGAGACCGAGGCATGCCCTGCCTGGGGCAAAGTCCCCTCTGGCACTCTAACTTCTAACTACACTTAAAAACTACTTACCACTAACTACAATAAACAAACTATTTACAAGGCCCTAAGTCTCAAAGTCAGAAGAGACGAAACCTCTAGACCTTGCTATTCAAGGAGAGGCACTCCAACTAAACACCACAAGTGGTAAGAAGGAACTGAGAGGGCATAGGGCCAGCAGTGCCCGATATACCGATGCATGAGTGTGGCATTCAAGGGGATGCCACAGCTGGCCCTATGGATACCGCTAAGGCAAATATCTCCAATGACCGCGCACATGGACGCGCATGCACCCAGAATGGAATTGACATGAGCAAGCGCTTGAAGAAGAACTCACAATTCTGGGAACCTCTGCAGATTGTCCAACTGGCTGACAGTTTTGGAGAAATTTAGGACTGGAAGGATGTTGGGTTCACTCTGCAAAAAAGTAAGTGGGTGGCAGAAGCCAGGGTGTGACCTGCATGCTTGTAAGGCTGGCTGGTGGTGTCAGGACTCTGAGACACAGCAGTATAGCATTTAAGGCATGCAGAGTTGCAGGGCAGGCAGTGATACAACCCCTTACTGGTCTGGGTTGAACCCCTAAGTGTTACAATAAGTAGTAATTTTAAGAGGGGTCTTCTGCATCATACCATTCGGAAGGAGAAAAGGGTCAAAATACCAGTCAAAATAACAAGGCTATTGAAATAATGAACTATTGGGGAAGAGGGAGAACAGTGTGTGAGGAGAACTCATTTAACCTGTGGCATAGGGGTTAGAGGAAAAACCCTTCCTGCCTCAGGCACTAACCTTTTTGCTGGGCTTCCACTCCATGCCTGTGGGAGCCTGGTAGCCAGGACTGGTGACATTAACTTACTGCACTGCTGCCTGGAGGGGATCTGGCTGGAGAGGTGCTGAGGTGGTGTAGTTCAATCCCTCAAGAATGCTGGAATGGGGAACCAGGCTCAAGAGCAGGAAAATAGTCAGTGGAAACCACTGCTGAAAGAGATGGTAAAGACCGCTTCACTTGCAAGGTCCCCAAGCTTCCCTGCCACTGAAGAGTTCCTGGTATTACCAGTATTGTCTTACAGGAGACTAATGAAATAGGGCTTTCCTCCAAGGGTGGAGGAGTCAGCAACTGCACTCACCCATGGCAGCATTGAGTGGGTGCTGGAGATAGGCAACACCTGTGCAGAAGACAGACACTGGATCAGTTTAAAGAAGTCTTCAATCAAACTGTCTCCAAAACCATGAGGAAGGGAAACACTGTCATATATAGGATGGACTACGGATAAGAACTGTATGCACTGAAGGAATGCATGAATTGTATACAGTGGAGGAAGCGGGTGAACAAATAGGAACAAAAATAGTTATGCATGGGAGAGATGTGTAATTAGCATCAATTTATGCAAAAACAGTGCATCTCACACCAGCATAGTGTGGGTTTTTGTTCCTCTCGGACACCTGGCTCATAACAGTTTAAAAGTCTACTACTGCTACCAACTAATAAAGTTATCCCTTTCACTGAAGTGGTAGAGACCTTTCTTCCCTGTAGTTCTCACGTTCAAACCCCAGTTAGCCCAAGTGGGATCATTGTAATAGCACATTTCCTGTTTTCATACATGAAACTCATTCTGAGATTTCATTTCATGACATACCTTTTTTTCCCCCAAACCACCCACCTCAGTAGTTTATCAGTAATTTTCAGATGGCAAAGAACAGAAGTGACTACTGAATCCTAACACATTTTGATAAATCCAAGCAGTCCAATTTATATCTGTGTTACAGAACACTCAGTAAAATGTCAACATGCTCCTTTTAGCTACTGTTAAGGTCAATTTTGTACATAGGCTCAGTTAAACTTACTAAGTTTGGGTACAGGTTGCGTATCCCAAAACTGGTATTTACGTTTGGTCGCTTCATCAATGTTCTTTGCTGGTCCCTGGCATGCAGACAGCAGCTCCATAGCTCTCTGAATGTCTTGCAGCTTCTGCATTGGAATGGCTGGATTCTGTACAGAGAGACAATAGGGGAGAGAGGTTTGTTTACTACATGCACACTGAAAAAGTAGTGCATACACCATATTCACGTCACTTGCTTCAACGATATTTTGATAGTATTTTGTATATTTGCTCCCACCTTAAGCAAGGCACTGCCAGGGAGTTCAGGCCCAACATGTAGGTTTTGTTAGGGGAAAAACAGTTTTATAAACTTCCACTGTTTTAGAAGTAGTTTAATTATTTTTAAACTTCCTCAAAATAGTTTGTTTACATTTAATAATGAACTTGCAGTGTTTGTAACACAAATACTGCATCATTACGCTACTGTAGGAGGACCACAGCGTGAAGCTAACCATTCTTTTTTCCCCACTGCTCTATCTGAACAAAGCTGAAATGGTAAAACAGAGTAAACCGCTAAAAGCAAAGATGACTTTTAAAATTCCTTCAGGTTTAACAATCTAAGGTGTTATTAGTAATGCACATAAGGGTAGTTAAAGTATATATAGATATAGATGTATAAAATACATACTGTAAAACATCACTTTAAAAAGTCAGCACTATTCCATATTTGTTATGCTATTTTGCTACATATAGCAATGTTTACTGAAGTTCTATCAGATGTTGTTTATTAATTCTTGCTTTACTTTTCAGTGTCCAGAAAATGCATGTTATAAGTCCATTCTGCCAAGTGCTATAGCTAATGTTGTTTTGCAGATGTTAGCAAAGTTTCAAAATGAAGAGAGCATTTAAGAGTAAAGATAAAATAAGCTAAAATTCTACTTAAAGAGGAAAGAGACTTTTACAGAACCATCTCCCCATCCAGACAGCCTAAAAGTTAGGGCTAAACTTTCCCAACTTTGGTGGCTAAAGGTAGGCATATAAACCCTCATTTCAGAGATAAAGCTGAGCACCCACAGCTTCAATAAGAATTTTGCCTGTGTAGTGTATACAGACTGCAAACCAGTGATAGGCACAGTGAGTCATAAATCTGAAGGGATATTTCTATTTTTGTTTCTTAAGAAAAGTCCCATCCTGGAGCAGATTTGGGAGTTTTGCCATCAACTTCAGGAGGCCAGGATTTCACCCTAGGTTTTCTCCAAAGCAACAGATACATTCTTTAGACTACATTATATTACATATATTATTTAAAGTGTTCTATCCCAACTGTTGAATACACAAGCTCCCTGCTTCTCAGTTCCATATTAATTTGTCATCCGTTGATTATTTCACTTCCTTTCTAGGACTCATCTAGAGAAAACACCACAAACTACAACTAATATGGACAAGCAGCAGGCTTCAGTACCATCCATCTCAAAGGCAGATCTACTGCATGTAGTTTAAGAACTTTCAACTTCAAAGAAGTCTGCATGTCTTATCATTTAATATATATTTTTATTCTCTAAACATTATGCAGTTTCTCTAGTTAACTAAAGTATTGCAAGATTTCCCTATAAATATAATACTATGAACATATTAATAAAACTGTTCTCTGGCCTGAGAGGTCAGTGCATTAACATTTATTTACTTATGGGCTTTGGTTCACTCAGTTATGTCAACACTGTTACAGCAAGAAAAAAAATAGCCTATTTCTAGATCCAAATCATGGTGACACGGGTCAGTGCTCTCAACTAAAAATCAATACATATAGTTCCCATTGGTCTAGTATGAAGGATTCTAAGGAAGTAGAGAGATTTTTAATGCTTACCAGTACATGGACTAATCAAATATTAATTCTGATGTGTCAATATTAGTATTTTGAATATTTTTAATTTTAGCAGTGTAAGCAGTTCCACTTACCACTGTAGCACCCCTTTGGTATCAGAAACTGCTACTGTGTGCAGTGGCGGCCTCCTCTTAACCACTGCTTTAGCCTTGTGATGGCCTAGCTCTCTGGCCAGGTGATCTCTTAAGTTCAGTTCTGTCCCATTATGGGGTAATAAAGTCCAACTACAGAATATACACCATTATCCAAGCAAAAGATCCTCCTGCTCCTCTCAGGCTTCACTGAAGTTCCCTATTCTTCACCCGTACTCCTGGGGACTGCAGATTTCTTTCTTTGCTCCGTTGGCTGAGCACTGCCTCCCAGGTCTCTTCACCTGGAAGCCCTTCTTCCTAGCCCTTCCCCTCTGCTTCCCTTCCTACTCTAGCAGCTTCTTTCAGGGTCTTCCCTGCTTCTTACAAGCTCTATCTCAGGGCCTCTCACAAGAATCTAACCTGCTCCTCATGGTTTTCTCCAGCCTGCCTTCATTAGGCCCTTTCCAGAAAGAGGGGGTTCCCCAGGATCCTCTCTCCTGGGTTTCTTCTTTCACTGAGTTCTCATCCCTCTCTGTGTAGTTCTCCCTGAGCCTTTCACAGCTTAGATCTCTAATTGTAATTGAGCTACCAGATCAGGATCAGCGGGGGGTTACTTGCGAACGTCACAGGCAAGGCTGAGCCCAACTCCTCTTGACAGGCTAGCCAGCTTGTGAATAGGGGATCAAAATATTATTCTATTTCTATGCCAATAACAAATGACCATTATAAATAAGGCATCTGTCCACATAATATAGAAGAAAAGGGGAAAAGGTATATATCATTCTGACGTTAACCATGACTAGTCTATGGATGATGGTCCTTCTTCCTGAGGGAGAAGGGTTCTTCATTCCTTGCAACTAATTCAGAGATAGGTATGTGGTATGAAATTTGTTTTCAGTTCCTTTTTATTTCTCCAAAAAGAGGAGGAAAATTTTCTGAAGAAACACACGTAAGCTGGAAAGCAATATTTGCTTTCTCAATTTAGAGGGAGTTCCTGCAGTTAAGAGGGACTGGCTAAACCCTCTGGAGGAATGGCACAAAGACTGAAAGAATAAAACAAAATGTACAATTTTATGTGATCCAAGGGAAATTTATCTGATGTACAGAGGGAGCTGGTGGCCTTTTCTGCATAAAGTGAAGCTTTGTCAGTGCCTAGAGTCCTCTCTTACGTCACAGGAGGAGTTGTGGAGGAAGTTCATTCTGTTACATGTGCAGATACGCTGAACAGATGAGGGACTAGTTGGAAAGAATAGGGAACCAGAGACATTTTAAAGAATATTGATATCACACTTCCTTTTGATCCGTAATGGCTTTTTTTGGCAAGACTGTTACCAGGGGGAAGTTTATGCATTATCCAAAATCCAAGTAGCCACCTGTTACTGATGGAATAAATGGGCCAAAATTGGAAGAGGGCTACCACAAGGCAGCTGTAATCGTAAGTTCAGTTACCTGACTATTCAATTTAAGGTGTTCCATCATTTAGAAAAGGCCTCTAACTACTTACTATCTAGATAGTTGTTCAAATGCCATTATCCTCAAGTCTGACATTTTAAAACACAGAAAACAGCTGTGGAAATGTCTGTGATTAGAACAAACATTGATAATACTTTAAGACAAACAGATTAAGACAAAGACCATCCTGGACTAGAACATGGACAGGGCTTACTTACAGCAAAGAGACTATGTCCAATTTTGCTTGGCAAGTGAAGACAGAACAAAGATGTAGACCATGGAGTGGAATTACCAATACAGAATATACACACTATACTTTACGTTTACACTTCAAAACAGATATTTTTGTTTTTTTGCCTTTGCTCACACATGTATTAGTTCTTTGTGGCTCTCCATTTGTCTGTTGGGGGGGAAGGGGGAAAAGACTGCCTTTTGCCATGCTCCTTGTCTGTGTTCTATGATATTTCCTCCTGCTGCTTTGTTTCTATGTGTTCGCACATACTGCAGACTGAAAAATAAAAGACTACAAAGTTAATTTCACATTGTAGCCTGCAACAGACACAGAGTACAACGATAGACACACTGTTTGTAGGTTAGAGAGGCAAAATGCAAAGATGACATTTCAGAAAGCAAGGCAAGCTGTGTAAGGATTGCTACATATATGCCTAGACAGCAACTGCTGGGAAAATGTCTCTGCTGTACAAAAGTTCCCAGATGGAAGTGACAATATTCTGTCAATTCAGAGAGTTTGAAAACTGAGTTTCATGCACACATGCCCTTCCCTGTATGTATTTGCACCAATAGGATATTAAACAAGATATTTTCCACGTCACATAGTTGTTTACAGAATTAATTCATACTACAAATGAGAGACCAGAGCATTCAAAAATATTTACAAACACAGACTGACTCAAACTTTAAGATATAACCTAATCATTAGCTGCCTGGGGTTAGGAAGAAACTCACCCCACAGGCATGTTATTGCTTAATTATCCAGTTATAGGGGTTTTATACTTTCCTATTCAACATTTTCGTCAATGATCTGGAAGTAAATGTAAAAATCACTGCTGATTAATACTTGTGGGCAATGCATAGATTGGTGGAGTGGTAAATAATGATGAGGATAGGGCAGTCATACCAAGTGCTCCAGTTTTCTCTGTAAATTGGACAAAACACATTTTTAATATTAATAGTAATTATTTTCAGGGAGTTCTATGGCCTTGTGTTACACAAGAGGTCAGACTACATGATCACAATGGTCCCTTCTGGTGTTGGAATCTACGGGCATGGCTACACTTGCAGATGTAGAGCGCTGGGAGTTAAACCAGCCTTCGGAGACCGCAGCAGGGAAAACGCTGCACTGGCGTGGCCACATTAGCAGCTCTTGCAACGCCACAAAGAGCAGTGCATTGTAGTAGCTATCCCAGGGTGTAAGTGGCTGCAAAATGCTTTTCAAATGGGAGTGGGGGGGTGGAGTGTGACAGGGAGCATGTTGTGTGTATGTGGGGGGAGAGAGAGTGGGTTTTTGGGGGGCTGAGAGCATGTCAGCATGCTGTCTTGTAAGTTAAGACAGCAGCAGGACATCCCCCCCGCCCCTCAAAACAATGTGGCCACTTGACTTCAGGGGATTATGGGACATTTCCGGAGGCCAATCGCAGCGCAGTAATGCAACACCTCATTCACACTGATGTCCGGGCGTTTCAGCCAGGGCGCAGCAAGCTTTATGCTTGTCTTGGAGGTGGATTACCAGGAGCGCTCCAGCTGC